GCCTCCCTGTCTGGTCTTGTGGTAACTCCCACAGACTGTCCTGTTGTGCCTGCAAAGCAAAGGAGCCATGCTGGAAACACTTCCTAGTCCTCAGAGGGAAGACATGGAGAGGTTCAATTCTACACCTCACTAGGTGAACAAGTCTGTACTTTGCCCAGTAGCCTTCCCCTTTAATGTCTACCCACTGAATTGCTACTATTGAAGTTCCTCCTCTAACTGACACGAGTTTCCTTGAATTCAGGCATGGCTAGTGGGTCCCCTGGGTGTTCTGCCTCCCCTGTCTCTTGTGGGTTTAGCAGGGCCTAAAGTTCCCAGATATAAACAACATTCATATATTTTTTTTAGGAAAAAATGACACTACAAAAAGTCTGGCCAGGAATTTGTATTCTGTCCAACTGTTGGATAAGTTCCCATGAGTTGTTATGTTGTCCTTTTAGTCTAGAGCAGACCCTGGACCCAATATCTGCCTCCCCAACCCCAGAGTGTAACCTCTCATTGCCTCTCAATGTTCTGTGGCAAAACAGTAATTTGACAAATTTCAAAATTGTGCTAAATAGCTACTCTCTAAAACACAAGAGTTTTCTCCTTCTCCTAGAAAATCTCTCAGTGTTGATATGTTCCATTAGAGACTGGATACTCTGGAAATGTGCCTGGGCATGAGGCTATTGCTGCATCTCTGCCTCCTCTGTTGAGTCTGTCTGTCCTTCTACTTGGAAGGCAGAACACCACCTAGTTTTATATGATGAAAAGGAATAAGTCCAGTGATTTTTCTGTTCAATCATGTCTACCCTTTAACCCAGTGTCATTTTATCAAAAGTCTTGGCTTACTCCCCTAGGGAGGAGAAAGACTCAAAATGATATTGTTCTCCATTTAACTTTAGTCCTCAAAAGTCCATCTAAAGTTTGCACTTTGATTTAAAATAAGCTGGGTTGTGGTAAGGCGATCCATTTTTTAAAATCCTGTGACATCCTCACAACAGTGTGTACTTACTTGACTTGTCTGAAGGCTGGGTTGATTCACTGCTTGGAGCACCAGATGTTTCCCTAGCTGATGGTACAGTAGGCCCTTTTAAAATGAACAATAATTTATTATCATGATGTTTGATTCCGATGTATTGATCTGAATGCAAATGCTTTCAATTATTTTTCTTAAATTCCATCATTCTCTATCTCCCTATTTTCATTAAGCAATCACAAAATCTGTCATGAACTAATATATCCTCAGTGAATCACTGACTTGTTGGATGTGAAAGAACTTGTACACATTGACTGGTTTGACATTAAGACACTGGAGTTCTACGTCATAGCTCTGCAACCTCATGAGAGCCCAGTGTAGGAACTTCGTGAGATGGATATCTTCAGACTCTTATTTTCAGTTTATTTACTCTTCTTTTTTTAGAGACAAGGTTTCTCTGTGTAGCATTGTGCCTTTCCTGGAACTCGATTTGGAGACCAGCCTGGCCTCAAACTCACAGAGATTTGCCTGCCTCTGCCTTCTAAATACTGGGATTAAGACCTGTGCCACCACCACCTGGCCAGGTTATTTCTTAAAAATCTCTCTCTGCATCTTTGTCAAAAGCATGAGCCTGTCCTTGACACAGCCGCAACTCACCTGTACTGACTTCAGATGGGGTCTGCTCACTGCTTGGGGATCTAGTTGTTCCTGCTGATGATCCAGTGGTTACTTTCAAAGAAAAAATTGTCAAGAATGTGAGCAGCTCTAGACAGTACACCTCTGTGATGTTGAAAGTCATCAATCATTTATGAGTAGTTCCTATTGCTGCTTCAATCTTTGTAAATTTCATATGATATGGAGGAAGCTTTGCTGGGCTTTTTGATTCTGCATGTAAATATGATTGTCTACCTCTTTTTTAATCATCTGTTTGAATCCAGTATTCATATGCTTATTGAAACCAACTGGGTCTTTCAGATATATTTCTGTCTGTGTGCTTCCTATAAAAAATACATTTAATACCCATGATAAAGAGGACATTAAGAATTTTTCTACTTCATGCTAAGTTAGAGTCAGGATAGAAATTGTTAGCCCTAATGACTCAGCGTCCAAAAGTACCAAGGAGGAAACAGGGCCATCATTGTTCCAAATAAACAAATTAGCAACCTAATTACAGAACAAGATGTGAAAAACATCACCTAATGCAGTCTTCTTTCTGATGCTAGCTCATTTCTCTAAATATACAAGGAATTCCTGCATTCCCCTTTGAATAAATGGTAATATAACCAGCCTCTCACTAGTCACTTGAGGACTTATAACCTTATAATACACACGCCATGCTTACATTTCTATCTAAATAAATGGAAATTAACAACTCTCCATTTGACACCTGAGAACTCATAGCCTCCTCTCTATCCTCACCTGCTTGGCTGCTGGCAGAAGCTGTGGATTGACTGGAGGCCTGAGGGACAGTAGTGTGTCCTGAGGATGTCACTGTGCCCTCTAGGACAGGAAAACATGCATGTTGGAGACATATGATTCCAGACTTCCTTATTTATATGAATGGACTTGCAGGATAAAACACGAGAAGACACATTCTTCTAACACATTCAGTGTCATGAATTTCACTCACACATACAGGTCAATTTTATAGACCATCTCTTGAGGTTGTATGAGAATGGATGAGCATGAGCAGCTAAGATATTGCCAAGAGCTAAAGAGACTTGCCTGATTCTAGGGCTCCAGTTCTTGCAGGTAGAGCTGTGCTGCTCTCTGTTCCTCCAGAGGTGGATGCAGAAGTTGTTCCAGGTGTGCCTGTTAATTATCATGGTTAAGACATGAGTAAGAAAAATTAAAGGGAGGTTTTTCTGAAAACAAAGAATTGAAATATCCATTTTTTGTCTTACAAAATGAATGTCTCTACTCTTTTAAAAAGTTCGGTATCAACTTCTTTCTTAAGGGATTCCATTACCTGACAACATACTGATTTGTTGAAATATTCATTAATTAGAAAACATAATGATTATGGAGGTCAGTCAAATTTGTCAAGGAGTAATGTTGATGATTTTAGAACTGAATTAAAGCCCTTTGTGCATCTTTGCCCACCTGACAGCTCTCTATCACACTTTTAGGCTTACATGTCTCATGATCATTCATTTTTTTAAAATTAAGAAAATGCATGAGATCATGGAACCCCTTATTATTTAGCAAATAATGTATGCTTAAAATTATACTAGAAATGAAATAAATTTTTGGAAATATACATTGAATCTTCTGCAAACATGGCCTGGGACTGGTTATCATATGAATGACATCTCTGGGCATATCTCAAGGAATCCTAACAGAGAAGAAAAGCCCAATGTATATGTAGGTGACAACCACTGACTTGTGCTACATCCATGTGCTCCTCCTCTTTTTTCTATGGGAACAGGATATTTCTTAAGGTCACAGAAAACAACAGCCTCAGTATGGAGCCAAAGCATTTCAGGGTTGACGTCATTTCATGCAGTTCTATACTCTAGTCCTTCATTTCTTTTCCTTGAACTAATGATCACAAACAGTTCTAGACAACACTAGCATGAGTCCCTGACACAGACCAACATTGAGATCTTATCTTGCCTGCTGGGCTTCCAGTGGTGACTTCTGTGCCTTGGGTGACAGATGTGGCCTCCCTGTCTGGTCTTGTGGTAACTCCCACAGACTGTCCTGTTGTGCCTGCAAAGAAGAGGACCCATGCTGGGAACATTCACTAGTCCTCAGAAGGTAGACATGGAGAGGTTCAATTCTACATCTCACTAGGAGAACAAGTCTGTACTTTCTCCAGCATCCTACATGTTTCACCTCTACCCACCTAATTGCTACTAATGAAGTTCCTCTACCTGACCTGAGTTTCTTGTATCATATTGTAGCACTGCTGCAGGATCTCCTGGTTGTGCTGCCTGCCCTGTCACTTGTGGGCAAAGCAGGGACTCCCAATGACATTTTTATTATCTTTAGGAAAAATGACACAAGAAAAAAATCTGGCCAGGAAATTTTAAACTGCCCAACTGTTGAATATGTTCCCATGAGTTGTTATGTTGTCCTTGTAGCTTAGAGCAGACCCAGGCTCCCACATGAGCCTCTGAATCCTCAGAATCTAACCTCTCCTTTGCTCTGATGGGTCTTTTGCAAAATAGTAATATGACAAATTTCTAAAGTGTGTTAGAGAAATACTTTCCCAAAACCAGAGCTTTCCCTCTCTCCTAGGACAAGACCCACTGTCCAGGCATTCCTTTAGAGATTAATTCCTTTGGAAATGTGCCTAGGCATGAGTCTTTTCATTCATCTCTGCATCTTATCTGCTCTGTCTGTCCTTCTGCTTGGAAGGTGGAACATCATCCATTTTCATTTGATGAAAAAGAATGACTTCATTGACTTTTTTTTCTGTGCAATCATGTCTACCCTTTGATCCTAATTTTATGTTATCAAGAGCCTTGGATTACTCCCCCTGGGAGGAGAAAGCCTCTTGAAAAACGATGTTCTCTCTTTTACTTTAGTTCTCAAATGTCAATCTAAATTTTCTAATTTGATTTATGTGAGCTGGGTAATAGTAAGGTGATCCTTTGTCAAAACCCATGACTTCCTCACATCAGCCTGTACTCAACTAACTTGTTTTAATACAGGCTCAAGTCACTGCCTGAGGATCCAGATACTTCCCCAGCTGATAGTGTAGTAGTTCCTTTCACTGTGAACAATAATTGATTATCGGAATGTATGATATGTAGATGCTAATACTTTCAATTATCTTCCTTATATTCCTTTATTTTCTTTAATTTCCATCATTTCAACAAGCTATCACAAGTACAAAGATGACCCAGACCATCCTTCTGAGAACTCACTGACTTGTGGGATATGAGGGAACTTGTACATATTGACTTGTTTGGCATTAAGACACTAGAGTTCTATGTCATAGCCCAGCATGCTCATCACAGCTCACAGTAGAGTCTTCAGGCAATGTTTTCTCCATTGAGTGCTATTTTCAAATCATTTCTTAAAAATCTCTCCCTGCATTTTCAGCCACAGCATGACCCTCTCTAGGAAACAACCTCAACTCACCTGCACTGACTTCAGATGGGGTCTGCTCACTGCTTGGGGATCTAGTTGTTCCTGCTGATGATGCAGTCGTTGCTTTCAAAGAAACACAATGTCATGACTATGAAGCAGTAGTAGACCACACTGATCTATGAAAACCGGTGTCTTCACTAATTTATATATAATTCCTATTGCTGCTTCAATCTTTGTAAATTTCATATGATATGGAGGAAGCTTTGTGAGCTTTTTGATTCTGCATGTAAATATGATTGTCTACTTCTTTTTTTAATCATCTATTTGAATCCAGTACTCATATGCTTATTGAAACCCACTGGGTCTTTCACATATATTTCTGCCTGTGTGCTTCTTATAACAAAAACACATTTAATTCCCATGTTAAAGAGGACATTAAGAATTTTTCTACTTCATGCTAAGTTAGAGTCAGAATAGTAAGCCTTAGCCCTCAGTAAGCCAAAAGTACCAAGGGAGGAATCAGGGCCACTATTGCCCAAAAAAAACCCCACATTAGCAACCTAATTTGGGATAAGAGAAACATCAACTAATGCTGTCCTCTTTCTGATGCTAGCTCATTTCTCTAAATATACAAGGAATTCCTGCATTCCCCCTTTGAATAAATAGTGATACAACCTGCCCCTCACTTGTCATAGTCGAGTAACATACATGCAGTTCTTACATTTCCATATAAATAAAGGGAAATTAACAACTCTCCGTTTGACACATGAGAGTTCATACCGACTTTCTTCCCTTACTTGCTTGGCTGCTGGCAGAAGCTGTGGATTGACTGGCGGCCTGAGGGATAGTAGTATGTCTTGAGGATGTCACTGTGCTCTCTAGGACAGGAAAACATGCATGTTGGAGACTCATATGATATTAGACATCCTTATTTATATTAATGGACTTGCAGGATAAAACAGGAGAAGACAACATTCTTCTAATGCATCCAGTGTCATGAATTTTACTCGCACATACAGGTCAATTTTCCACACCATCTCCTGAGCTGCATGGGAACAGATGGGCAGCTGAGACATCTCCAAAGGCTCAAGAGTCTTACCTGATGCTGGGGCTCCAGTCCTTGCAGGTAGAGCAGTGCTGCCCCCTGCTCCTCCAGAGGTGGATGCAGAAGTTGTCCCAGGTGTGCCTGTTGTTTATCATGATTAAAAATAATGAGTAAGAAAAACTAAAGGGAGTTTTTTTCTGAAAACAAAGAATTGAAATAACCATTTTTTTCCTCTTACAAAATGAATGTCTCTACTCTTATAAAAAGTTCACTGTCAACTTCTTTCTCAAGGGAATCCATTACCTGACAACATACAGATTTGGTGGAATATTCATTAATTTAAAAACATAATAATTAATGGAGATAAGCCATATTTGTCATGGAGGGATGTTGATGATTTTAGAACTGACTTAAAACACTGTGGGCATCATTCCCCACCTGACTGTTCTCTACCATATTTTTAGGCTCACATATCTCATGATGCTCATTTGATTAAAAATATGAAAATGCATGAGATCATGGAGTCCTCCTTTTAACTTAGCAAATAATATATGCTTAAAATATCTGACATAAAATAAATTCTTGTCAATATACACTGAATCTTCTGCAAATGTGACATGGGACTGGTTATCATATGGACCACTTCTCTGTGCATATCTCAGGGGATACTAACAGAGAAGGAAAGGCCAATGTATAGGTAGGTAACAATCAATAAGTTGTCATATCTCCATGTGCCCCTCCTCTTGTTTCTATGGGAACAAAAATGTTTCTTAAGGTCACAGATAACAATGGCCACAGAAGCCTCCCAAAGCATTTCAGAGTTAACCTCATGTCATGAAGTTCTACACTCTGTTCCTTCATCACTTTTCCTTCAACTAAGGATCACAAACAGTTCTGAAAAACACTAACATGAGTCCCTGACACAGACCACCATTGAGATCTTATCTTGCCTGCTGGGCTTCCAGAGGTAACTTCTGTGCCTAGAGTGACAGGTGTGGCCTCCTTGTCTGCTCTTGTGGTAACTCCCACAGACTGTCCTGTTGTGCCTGAGAGCCACAAAGCAAAGGAGCCATGCTGGAAACACTTACTAGTCCTCAGAAAGGAGACATGGAGAAGTTCAATTCTATGCCTCACTAGTTGAACAAGTCTGTGCTTTGCCCAGCAGCCTACCTGTTTCAGCTCTACCCACTGAGTTGCTACTAATGAAGGTCCTGCTCTAACTGACCCGAGTCTCCCTGGATTTTAGCACTGATGCTTTGTCCCTGGGTGTGTTGCCTCCCCTGTCACTTGTGCATTCAGCAGGGACTAAGTTCCCTGAGATATGAATGACATTTTGATTTTCCTTAGGAATAATGACACAAGAAAAAAACTGGAAAGGAAATCTTATGCTGCCCAACTGTTGGATATGTTCCCATGAGTTTTTATGTTGTCCTTGTAGCTGACAGCAGACCCAGGGTCCAACCTGAGCCTTTGCATCCTCAGAGTCTAACCTCTCATTTGCTCTCAAGGATCTCTGGCAAAACAGTGATTTGACAAATTTTCAAAGTGTGTTACACAAATACTTTCACAAAACCAGAGTTTTCTCTCTCTCCTAGGAAAACACCCATTCTCCAGGTATTCCTTTCAAGAGTGCCTGGGCATAAGTCTTTTCATTCATCTTTACTCTTCTCTTAAGTCTGTCTGTCCTTCTACGTGGAAGGTGGAACATCATCCAGTTTCATATGATGAGAAGGAAAACGTCCAGTGATTTTCTGTTCAATCATGTCTACTCTTTGAACCTAGAGTCATGTTATCAAAAGCCATGGCTTACTGCCCTCAGAGGAGAAAGCCTCTTAATATGACATTGTTCTCTCTTTTACTTTAGTCCTCCTGTGTCCATCTAAAGTTTGTACTTTGATTTAAATAAGCCAGGCAATGGTAAGGTGATCCACCTTGTCTCAAACCATAAATTCTTCACATCAGCTTATACTCACTTGACTTGTCTGAAGGCTGAGCCGATTCACTGCTTGGGGCTCCAGATGTTTCCCTAGCTGATGGTGTAGTAGTTCCTTTCAAAGTAAATAATAAGTGATTATCACAATGTTTGATACAGAGGTACAGATCAGGATGCTAATGTTTTCAATGATCTTCCTTATATTCCTTCATTCTATTTTATTTCCATCTTTTCAACAAGCTATCACAAATTCTTAGGTTACCCAGACTTTTCTTTAAAGAACTCACTGAATTGTTGGATATGAAGGATCTTGTACATATTGAATTGTTTGACATTAAGATACTGGAGTTCTATATCATAGCTTGGCATCCTTATCAGAGCCTTCAGTAGGATTTTTATGAGATGAATCTCTCTAGACTTCCATTTTCAGTTTACTTAAAAAATGTCTCTCTACATCTTTTTCAACAGCATGAGCTTGTGCTGGACATAGTCTCAATTCACCTGCACTGACTGTAGATGGGGCCTTCTCACTGCTTGGGTATGTAGTTGTTCCCACTGATGACCCAGTCATTGCTTTCAAAGAAAGATAATGTCATGAGTGTGAGCAGCAATAGACCACACTGCTCTGTGATGTTGAAAGTCTTCATTAATTTATGTATAGTTTCTATTTCTGCTTCAATCTTTGTAAATTTAGTATGATATGGAATCCTTGTGGGGCTTATTTGATTCTGCATGGAAATATGATTGTCTGCCTCCTTTTAATTCATTTATTTGAATCCAGTACTCATATGCTTATTGAAAACAACTGGGTCTTTCATTTTTATTCTGGTTGTGTGCTTCATATTAGAAAACACATTTAATAACCATGATAAAGAAGACATTCAGAGTGTTTCTACTTGATAATAACTTTGAGTCAGGATAGTAAGCCTTAGCTTTATGACTCAGAGCCCTTAAGCTCCAAGGAAAGAATCAGGGCCATCATTGCCCCAAAGTACACATTAGCGACCTAACTATGGGATAAGATAAGAGAAACATCAACTAATGCAGTCTTTTTTTCTGATGCTAGCTCCCTTTCTCTAAATATATAAGGAATTCATGCATTACCTTATGAAAAGATGCTGATATCACTAGCCCCTCATTTGATACGTGAGGACTCATAGCCTTATAATATACATGCCATTTCTGCATTTCCATAAAAGTAAATGGAGTTATATTCAGTCCCCCATTTGACCCTTGGGAACTCATAGCCTTCTCCCTTGTACTTACCTGGTTTGCTGCTGCCAGAGGCTGGGGATAGACTGGAGGCTTGAGTGATGGTTGTGTGGCCTGAGGATGTCACTGTGCTCTCTAGGACAGGAAAACATGCATGTTGGAGATTCATATGTTTCCAGATATCCTTATTAATATGAATGGACTTGCATGATGAAACATGAGAAGACACATTATTCACCACATGCAGTACCATCAATTTCATTCACACAAACAAGTCCATTTTCCAAATCATCACCTGAGGAAACATGGGAATGGATGCGCAGCTGAGACATCTCCAAAGGCTAAGGAGTCTTACCTGATGCTGGGGCTCCAGTACTTGCAGGTAGAGAGGTGCTACTCCCTGTCCCTCCTGACTTGGTTCCAGATGATACACTGGGTGTGCCTGATTTTTATTGTGGTTAAAAAAGATGAATGAGAAAATTTAAAAGGTGATTTTTTTAAAGAATAAAAATATAAATTATACATGTTTCCCCTTATGAAATGAAAGTTCCTACCCTTAAAAACTTTATTGACAACTTCTTTCTAGAGGGAAATCCATTAATTTGACAACCTACTGATTTGTTTAAATATTCATTAATAAGAAAATACAATAATCAAATTCCTCATGGAGGAATGTTGGGCATTTTAGAACTGACTTAAAGCCCTGTGAGCCTCTTTTCTCATCTGAATATTCTCCAACATACTTTTATGCTCCCACATCATAAGACTGTTAATTTCATTAAAAAACATGAAGATGCATGAGATCATGGCATCCTCCTATTTTTTAGCAACTATGGAGTGATTACAGTAATACTAGTCCCAAAACAAATACTTGGTAATATATTCAATCTTTTGGATAGTTGTTTTGGGAATGTTTATCATTTGGAACACATTTCTGTGCTTATCACTGAGGATATTAACAGAGAGGGAAAGGCCAACATATAAGAACATGACAATCAATGAGTTGCACCCCTAGATTGAATGTGAAAGGGAAAGGACAGAGCATGAGAGGACCAGCATTCATTACTCTGCTTCCTCAGTGTGGACACAGTGTGAACAGTTTCCTTGTGATCCCATGATTCCGTCTGTGCCACTCCCACTTCTATGTTTTCCCTGGCATGAGGTATCTACCTCAAATTATTAGCAATATAAACCCCTTCTAATTTGATTTGCTTTGGTTATGTTTTGTTCACAGTAACTATAGTACATGACATCTATGGCAATGGTCAACTCCTCCACAGTTCCTAATTGCTTTACATGGTTGTATGAAATGTTCACTTGTCTGCTGCCTGGGTGACCCCTGATGAGCTCACTCATTACCTGTTACTGAAGATGTGTTTTCACTAGGAGCTCCGGTGCTGGCTGCATGTGAACCTCCACTCGTTCCTAAGGGCATAAGAATGATGCTTGAAGGTCACAGATAATTATGGCCACAGAAGCCTCCCAAGTCATTTCAAAGTTACATTTATGCCAATAACTTCTACAATGTGATCTTTGGACACTTTTTCTTGAATTCTGGATCACAAACAGCTCAGGACAATACTAGCATTCGGCCCCTCCAAGAACTCCTCAGGGAGTTCTTGTCTTGCCTGAGGGGCTTCCAGTGGTGGCTCCTGTGCCTGGGACTCCAGGTGTGGCCCCCTTGATGGTCCCTGTTGTAACTCCCACAGACTGTCCTGTTGTGTGTGCAAAACAAAGGACCCATGCTAGCAACATGTACTAGTTCTCAGAAGGGAAATATGGAGAGATTCACTCTGAACATATCCACCCAGTTGCCCAAGCTTCATCTCTACCCAAGGAGTTGCGACTAATGAAATGCACTCTGACTGACCTGGGGTTCCTTGGCTTGTAGCACTGCTGCTGGGTTCCCTGGGTGTGCTGGCTTCATTGTCCCTTGATGTGGCTTCAGTAGGGACTATAGTTCCTGAGACACAAACAACATTTTTAGTTTTCTTCAAAATAACAACTTGTCAGGAAGCCATTTGGCCAGGGAAAATTTATGCTGTCCAGTTGTTGGCTATCTTCACTTGACTTTTTAAAGTCACTGTTTACCTCACATCAGACCCAAGAGCCAAACTTAAACTCTACATCCCCAGACTAATCTCTTCTGTGTTATCAATGATCTCTGGCAAAATAATAATTTGTCAAATTCCAAGTGTGTTAGACAAATAATTTCTAAAACACCAGAGTGTTCTCTCTCTCAGGACAGCACTCAGTGTTGAGGCATTTCTTTAGAGACTGGCAACTCTGGAAATGCATCTGGGATGGAGCATTTGAAACATCTCTGCCTCCTGTCTAATGTCTGTCTGTCCTTCTACTTGGAAAGTGGAACACCATCCCAGTGTCATATCATGAGAAGTAATGAGTCCAGTGATTTTCTTTTCGATCATGCCTACCCTTTGTACCTAATGCCATGTTATCAAGATCCTTGTTTTACTGCCCTAGGGAGGAGATAGTCTCTTAAAAATGACATTATTCTCTCTTTTTATTTTAGTCCTCACATTTCCAATTAAATTTTATACTTTGATTAATAATGAGCTGGGTCATGGTAAGATGATCTACTTTGTTAAAATCCATGACTTCCTCACATCAGCCTGTCCTCACTTGACTTGTCTGAAGGCAGGGTAAATTCACTGCTTGGGGCTCCAGATGTTTCCCCAAGGATGGTGTAGTAGTCCCTTTCAAAGTGAACAATAAGGGACTATCACAATGTTTGATAAAGGATATTGAT